TAACATTAAATGCAAACTCAAACCAAAGTCAATATTTATCCACAAATCTAGGGAATTGAAACGCGTTGTTTTAAGATTGACTGGGGATAAAAAGTAAACATTACACAAACACATTATATATAAACTAGAGGTCGTCCAGTGGTCGAAACTCGACCAAAAATTTGTAATGTACAGACTTCTCTATTTTCACCCCACACTGTAAATAAAGCATGTGATTGGAGTTTCTTCAATTTGTTTTGATATTCTGTTTATATTTCGTTGTTATTTCGTCACCAGCATGGAAACCCATAAATCCCATGTAAATTTTTTTCAAATTTCAAATTCATTTTTTGTGCTTATTTCTGAGCCTATTTTAATTTTTAAAGGGATTCTACACACCTACAGAAAAATATCTTTCTAACAGTATGCAAAGATTTTTCCTGCGATGCACACGAGCTGAGAAAAAAGGTTTTAAAGAAACATGCTTGCCTATTAAATATATAGATAGATAAATATATGTATATGTACGTATATATAAATGCAAACATATCAATTATTTAGAAACATAACACAAAACAACAAATAGGCCTCGGAAGGCAGGATAGGGCTCGGTTGGGTTGACGACGTGACGGCGATTATTTGAACGCCTTCTATGTGAGGGACGCAATAGTTCCTACTTTTGGACCAAACGAACTCGTATTAGAGTGTTGGATAAAACGACCCGATCGAATGGTCCACAGTGAAACGTACAGTCTATTTCATAAGTTTACTCCACAATGCACAATTGTAATTCTGGTTTTGCCTGTACTTTTGGACCAAACGAACTGTTTTACAACTGTTGGACCAAACGATTTTGGACCAAATGAAATACTCCCCAACTGGATGATAAAACGATTTTGGTCCAAACGAACTGTTTTACAAGTGTTGGACCAAACGAACTGTTTTACAACTGTTGGACCAAACGATTTTGGACCAAATGAAATACTCCCTGCTCCTGCTGTCTGCTTCTGCTTTGTTTTCCCATCAAACAGCTGTTTTGCAGGGCTGACTTTGCCATATTTATCATTACACCATTATGGTGAATGTCGGCAAAATTATCATAAAATTGTTATAGCTTTTATTTCGTAAAAAAAGTTAATAGTTTGACTAATTTAAATCATGTTTATGTAAACTCATTAGAAAATTATACTTATAGTTTGTTTACGCCAATACCACAGTTGTAAAAGTACAAAAATTATCGTCCATCTGGCAACACTGAGTTTAAAGTGGAACTGATCTTTTCTTTCTGCCATTTGCTTAGACCCAATGAGATTGCGTCATTCAGATGCATCGATGTTCCTTGCAGTAACTTATCGGTTTGTAAAACTTAACACCAATACCGATTAATTTAAAAAAATATTATGCTACAGTAGGTTATTTTTAGTTGTTGTATTTCTATATTTTGGTATAAAATATTTTTATGGCAGTTCAAACTAAATATGATACTGTACTTTATAATAATCTTCAAGAATCGTCTGCCATTGTTAGGCCTACTAGTCACGAGACTCCCTTGTTGACTATCGACTATTGCAATTCGACAGATTCATTCAATGCTTTATTTCAACTTACTGTATCGTTATCGAGACGTATTGTTGACTGTTGTAGGAAAGTGAAAGTCTGTTGTTTAGTAGTAGTAGTCCTCTTGCTAGCTCTGCCGAATGATGATGGGTGTTTGTTGAACATTTGGTTTACGCTGGTCTAACCTAAATGAGGTTAGATAGTTGTTTTTTGTAGGAATGGGGATTAAATAAGGCATCAACACAATACAAAATATAATTTATTAAATATGGATGTAGAAAATCGTGAATTGGCACTATTTATAACTACTCGACTCAAAATTTTCGAGTAGTAATTACTACTCGACTCGAGGTCGAGTATTTGAAAAAACTCGAGTAATTACTCGAAGGTCGAGTACTCGCCCACCCCTATAAATTTGTGTATTATTGTTGTTTTGTGTCGCTATGACGGATCGTGTTAGCATGATTGTAACTAAAATTTGTGCATTTATCGTTGTTTTGTGTAGCTATAATGTGTTTATTTGTTGTTTTTTTTTCTTTTGAATGCCTCCGACGTGACGACAACGAAACATAGACAGGAGGCGTAATCGTGATAACGACCGCACTGGACAATCTCAACTATTAGGTTACAAATGCGCCCTAACACTACCTCAAAACGAAATTAGTGACCTGTGTTGTCTGCAGAGCAGGGCATGTTGAAAAGGGAAAAACCGGCCGGAATGCTTTATTTCGGTTTATCAATAACGAAGATAAACATGGTCTGAGTTACACACCGGTAATCTTTTAGTTGACTCTTTTAAACTCATTTTAAATATGACTGTTATTCTTTATGAAATAAGTCCTGTAATACTTAGCAATTGCTCGAATTCGAGCAACATGTACACTAGTATTCCTAAATTTGAAATAGTCATGAGTTATCTACATAGGTTCTGGTTTGCTATTTCTTAATTTATTTTCAGTTCATTTATTTTAGTTTATGCTGAAAAAACGTCAAACAAGGATATTTGCCATTGCAGCCAAGAGCCATCAAAATCAAGCTATTATTCATCTCTCCTGGTTTAACCCATAGATCGCCAGTTAAACCAGCCTCACCCGGAGGGTTGACTCAAACTTAGTTTAATCCGAGAAATTATTTTCCCACAGCCACCTTTAATACAAGGCCGCGACGTTCAAACTGGCAACGCCTCAATCACACCCCTCCTGGGTCCGTCTTCACATGCGCTAGGCTATAACTTAAATGAAAGTTTTGCTGTTTTCACTGCTCTATAGAATGAATGAAAGATATTTAAATGGCATATAATAGTGATTTTTGTACTAAAATATATAAACACAAGCAGGTATACCCGTTCTTTGCAACGGGAAGAAAATGTGACCTAGAGAGCTATTAAAGTGGTGCTGATGTGTGTAAAAAAACAGCAACTCTATGATTTAGTTTTAAAATATAAACTGATTTAAAAGCGTAAACCTATTTACTTTCAAACCCCTACTTTTGATCTTAATAGATCCATAAGAATATGACAACATACCTTAGCGTAGCAATAGCATAAATTACTTCATATTGATGCTTCATAAATGACATGTTTTACCATAATTCTTCAATTTTAGTCAAGCCTCTCCACATTAATTTATATAAATAAATAATCTATATAAATACAAAAATGAAACTTTGAGCAATACTTTACAAAACGTATACAACCTCAATTTGAAACAAAACATAACCCTCCTAAATCTATATAAAGCACAAACATCTTTTTCGAGTAAATAAACAAACACCAGTCCATTGTACTGACCAGCTGTTTCATTAACTAAATTAAATTTAATCATTTAAACATTGGAAGCATGCCAGGCGTAGCACTTTGGAAATTAGCCTGTGGGGCAGAGCCCTTAGGAAATTCGTCCCTATCAATACTTTTCGGCAAATCTACACACTCTAAGCTTCATTTTGATGTGCCATATGCCTATATTTTTATTTGGTAAATGACCTTAACCGTTTACATAAAATTTGATTGTATCACTTTAATAATATAATAGATTATGTATGTTTGCTTGTAGGCCTATATTTATCGTATTGTAATAATTGCAATGAATATGAAAATGTCCTGTAAAACTTCCAATTACAAATGAAAGAGTAAAATAAAATAAATATCTTGGATTGGTTAAATAAAATTATTTTCAATTTTAAATATTCATATTATTGTTTTAGCCTACCTGACGAACCATAAGTCTAGATAGCTACATAAAATTTTAAGTTTTCTTTTCTAGTTGAAGGCCTACTGACTGAATCATTTATTTTATTAGAATAACTATTTAGCAATACGTTTGCCATTGTGGAAACGATCCCAGAAGCTAGGCCTTCATATGGCTTTCCACATTCATTATAATGTGCAAAATGACGTTAATAAAACGTGTAAATTTATTATTATTATTTATTTATTTATTATGTGTTAATATACAGCCTTAATTTTTGCAAGATGAAGTAAAGTCCCCGACTTCGCTTACATTTGCTAGTCGAATTTCTTCATCCTGTTGCCTTTATCTTGTCTTCTTTCTTCAGGAGTCTTTCTCCTTGTCGTTTTTCGTGTATCAAGATACGAAGGTAAATTGGGAAAAAGTTTTGCTAGGTACGGCATTCTCACCTGAAACTGGCTTCTCGCGTCTATATTTGCACCAATCACCGTCTTTATTTGTGTATATTTCCATAAAACTAAGGTCATCTCCGTGAAAATGTTTCACGCAGACACTAGAATTGTTTGAAGGTGTCCAATCTGACTGAGGAATCCACTGTTGCTTACGCACCACATCACTTGGAATCTTACACTGCGTAAGTATCCTTCAGTTTTAATCGAGCTTTCGTAATTACTCTTGCACCCAGGCACAACACATCTATCTGGCATGATGCAGTAACAATTTCAATGTCATTACTAAAGATTAAGGGTAGTATAAACGTGAATATGTACGTCGATATGCGACTCCTCTATTCACTGTAATGGTAAGAAGACCGCGCACCAAGACACAGATGCGACGTTGCCACTTTTCGCTCGCCGCGGCCTTGTATTAGAGGTAGCTGTGGGTTAACCTGTGATCAGAGTTAAACTTGATTTGGGGAAAGGGGCTTTCAGACCAGACCACAAAACTAAGCACCTAGACTAATATTTTTAAATTTGTTTAAATATTTATTATAATTTCCTGCATTTTTTAAACATTTCTGCAACAAATTAACGGAACAATGATTTCTTTGTGCATGAATAATTTTACAAAGAATAATAGTGTATATGTCCTCACTTGTCTTTGTAAATACAAACAACAGGTTATAATGAAGAATAAATACCCCTGCCGCAGCAAACCTGCAGAGGCTCCTAGAGATGCTGTGTTTTGTCGTTACCAAAGATGGTCGAAGGCCGTCGTTACTTTGTCCAACTTTAAACGCAATGTTGACTTCAACTTTTAAGAGACTCCTAATTTCAGAAAATCCACTTGGAGACACAACATGGCTTGAAGAAGAGACAAACCGTCACGTTTTGAAAAACATGGGTAAGCTAAGAATAAGGCAGCCTCAATCTTATGCAAAAAATCCTTCTAAAGCAAAGCCTTCAGGCTTACCTGCAACTGAGATGCCACACCCAGGAATATCCTACAACCCAAGCTTCACAGACCATCAACAACTTCTGAGGGAGATAGCTCAGAAAGAAATGAAACTTATGAAGGAGGAAGAACACCTGAAAAGAGTTACATCAAGCATGTTCTCCAAGATTAGCCCTGAAGAAAACAGTGTAAGTATATGTTACTTTTGGTTAGCTATTGGTTTTACCATTGACTGTTGGATACTAAAGTAGACATCTCACCTATATGTCCAGCTGTCAACAATTAAAAAAGAACGTAGTTGTGTGAGCCAGACACTTAATGCGCTAGTGTCTAAAATTCTATTTTCTACCTTTTTTCTTGTTGCTGACCAAGATGATGGGTCAGAATCAGCGAGCACATAATAATAATAATAATAGAGAGGATACGGCGTTTAACCAAATGCACTGAAAGTGTGGCCAAATCTGCCATCTTGGTCCGTCATACAGCCTGAATCCAAGACCCGCGAGCACAGTTCGCATTAAAAACCCCGCGACAAATACACGATCATAAACAACATTAATAGTTGACAAAAAATTTTGAAATTTTGCACACTTGTAGATATGATACTGAGGAAAACGATGGTGTTAATAAAAAATTATTAGTTATGATAGTAATTGAATTATAATTATGTTTAATACTTATGTAGTTTAATTTTTCAGATTCAGACATGAAAAAGTTGTATTGCGAGGAAATTTTTTATTTTTTGGTCAGAGAAATTTTGTCAGCGGGAAAGTTGTGGATAAATAACCAAATTTAACTATCCGATTCACCAAAAGTTTTTATCATGTTCAGTTTTCTAAAAAATCAGGTACAAAAGGGATCCATTGTTGCTGCTCCGCGCCACGCCCGCTGCGCCGCCGGGCAGTCGTCTATACATTTAGCGTGCAGTGTTTTAATGTTTTATACTGTTGTACTGTAATATTGTATATATTAAAGAAATTTTCAAATATATTGTCTATGTAGAATTTTCAACTGTTTAGCACAACTTTTAAGGACTAATTAGCTTTCAATATCATCGAAGATAAACTAAAGATAATTCTGTAAGTTAAATTAAACTTCCCAAATATATTTGTAAAATTGCACTCAATTTATTGTCACAGAAGAATTACAGTTTTATTGAGATGTTGCCTGATTTTATTTTTGTGAAGACTTTCGTTACTTATTTTACAGTAGTAGCGAACTGTAACATTGAAATATTTTTGAGCAATAATTTTAATTAGGTACTAAACAAAAATTAATTTGTCCATATTGTTTCATATCCTGAGAAATATGTACTATTTGGAAACAAATTTACTCCTACACATTGTCCAAGTACTTTGTTCGTCAAATCCTCAATTACATTGTTTTCCTTTACACTAATATCATTAACTTTATATCTACACTATTCTCATCAAGCATAGCAGACGACTAGCGCGCTGCACACGCCGGGACTACTGTCGGGGAAATAAATATGTGCTTGAGTTTGAGCCTTAATATCTCTTGAGATTAATTATCCGATTTTGTTGAGACAAAAATTAAATATAAACTGGTTTAAATACATTTTACGTGGTAACAATTAAACAAATTTCCGTTTACCAAAAAATTTTTTATAGTTGAAAGATTCTAAAAAGTACCGGGTTTTAAGAAACTCTGCACTAACACTGAAGTTTAAAACTTAATTCTAAACAAACCACTAAGCCAATCTTTCTGAAATTTGTATGGCTTATTGGTAGATTTATTGTTAACAGTTCCATGCATTTTAAAATTTTTACTCACGATAGTTTTTATGCTGATGTTTATTTTTAAAACGTATGCTATTATCGTTAATAAGACGCTAAAAATTTCGTTCAAAATATCATCGTGTTTGTCGTGACACAAGAAATAACACCAATATGACAGATTAATAATGCGAACAAAGTTGTTTTTTAAACAGATATATATTTGTAAACAAAAATTTCTCCCGCAACTGGCAGGCCGATTGGCTCAGTGGTTTGTTTACAATTAAATTTTAAACTTCAGTGTTAGTGCAGAGTTTCTTAAAACCCGGTACTTTTTAGGATCTTTCAACAATATAAATTTTTCTGGTAAACGGATTTTTTTTTACTGCTACCACGTAATATAAATTTAAACCACTAAATTTAAACTCTATTTAAACCAGCTTATATTTAATTTTTGTTTCAACAAAATTGGATTATTCATCTCTGAGATATTTCGGCTCAAACTCGAGTGCACATATTTATTTCCCCGACAGGTAGGCTAGCGCCGCCATCTTCGTCCGTTTCGCCGGTTAGTAAGACTGCCACGCTCCTGCGCTCCGAGTAGCGCTTCTATTTTGTTATGTGTTCGCTGGTCAGAATAGTCGCTACAGCTCACAATAAGTCATATTATTAGCCTAACTTAGTAAAAAGTTTGTGTATTTAACATAAATTAGTAATTTAAATCACAACAATCTTTCGGTGGCTCACATAGTCGCATCAACTACAGTAGACTCCCTCTCATACAAACTCCTCGGGACAGAGGCCAGTCCGGATAACGGTTTTTCCGGTTAAACCGACGTCCCCCAAAACTTGTTATGTAACCCAAATATTTGACTAAAATTTAGGAGAGCATTATATTTAGACATGTGATCACTGGTCTCAAATCTTTCCCACGAGAACAGTCGTTTCAGTACCGCCCACTTCCTGCCGATCTAGTCCGGTTAAACTGATGTGCTGATAAAAATTGTCCGGAACCCTTTGGGTCCCAAGCATTATGTTAATTTTGTATCAGAGGTGACCCAGACCACTAGTTGTGTTGTCACACCAGATGACCCAGTTACTCTATGCACACTATACCCCAGAATCCCAAGCCATTTTCAGCTGTTTTGTACTATCTATATAATTAATACGCTACATGAAACTTTGTCGGTTGAACTCCTCCGCCATTTCTTAACCGATTTTATCCATTGACGTCTCATTGGAAAGAGCGTGTCGCGTAGATTTGCAAACTGGCCTTACATTTTTGAAAAAGTCCCTTGGCCTCTGCCCCATTGGCTTTGAAAGTTCCCATGTTATCCTTATGGAGAACACAATTGTTTACATTTTGATCAGCTGTATAATTTAATTGCTGTTATTTATTTTATTTTTCAATCCAATGAAACGCATTGAGTACATTTATTTACTACAGTATTTGAGTTTGTGTAAACATAACCCCCAAGACGGATCGTGTTAGTATGGTTGTATCTCAAATTTGTGCATTTATCGTTGTTTTGTGTAGCTATAATGTGTTTAATTGTTGTTTTTTTCTTTTAAATGCCTACGACGTGAAGACAACGAAACATAGACAGGAGGCGTAATCGTGATAACGACCGTAGCTACAGAACAGTGGCGCGTAATAGGCTTAACTCATCAAGTCAGCACCTGACCCTGGACAATCTCAACTATTAAGTTATAAATGCACCCTAACACTACCCCAAAACGACTTTTTGTTCTCAATTGGCCCTCTATCAATGACCTGTGTTGCCTGTACAGCGAGGCATTTTGAGAAGGAGAAAACCGGCCGGAATGCTTTAGGTTTATCAATAACGAAGATAAACATGGTCTGTGTTACACACCAACCGGAAATGTTTGAGTTGACTCTTTTGAACTCATCGTAAATATGACTGTTATTCGTTTCGAAACAACTCCTGTAATACTTTGCAATTGCTCGAATTCGAGTAACGTGTACACTAGTTATCAAATAAATATTCATAACTCACCTTAGAAAGCAGCTAGAGTTATAATTTTTTTTTTATCTTTTAGCTAATAGAATCTACTTTAACAATGATAAGTAAAATTTTAAAAATATATGAATAAATATATATATATATACAATTTATATGTATGAACGGCCTAATATTTTCTCAAATTTTCATTTTGTAACCCATAAAAAGAATATTAGCTGTATTTTTTTTCCTATAAGTTTATTATTTTATTAAATACCACTAAATAAAGAACATATTGTGAAAGTTTTAGCAAAAAATAATAATAAATAAGTATTTTTATTTATAAAAATAAAAAACGTTACTTTTTTGCCGAAATCGACATATAACAAAAAAAAACACATAAAGTAATTATAAAACCCAAGTTTATTAAATATTTACCACATACTACAGAAATACTTTTACAATAACATTTCTACATGCATTTATAAGCCTGGATCTATTTACAGTAATTAAAAATAAGTATCATGCAAGAAATAAAAAGGTAAAATGAAGTCTCTCACCTATACCACACTGAGAACACTGAGAAGCTACTGAGAAGAATAGTGAGAAGAATGTGAAAGCAGTTCATTATATGCACATCTTTCTTATGTTATAATGTTTTCTGTTAATCAATTGAAATAAAACATTTAGAAATAACACATTTAGAGCAAAATCTCTTTACATATTTACATTTTTTATGGAACGGCTCATATATTTACATTTGTGTCGAGGAAGACAGTCCACCTATTTCATCTATTTTAGACACTGAGAAGAATGTGAAAGCAGTTCATTTTATGCACATCTTTCTTATGTTATAATGTTTTCTGTTAAAAAATTGAAATAAAATAGAGCCAAAACTATTTACATATTTACATTTTTTCTGGAACGGCTCATATATTTACATTTGTGTCGAGAAAGATAGTCCACCCATTTCACCTATTTTAGACACTAAGAAGCTACTGAAAAGAATGTGAAAGCAGTTCATTTTATGCACATATCTCTTACAGGTTATAATGTTTTCTGTTAAAAAATTGAAATAAAACGTTAAGCGCTAAAACTATTTACATATTTACATTTTTTCTTGAACGGCTCATCTATTTACATTTGTGTCGAGGAAGACAGTCCAAGTGATATCCACGCCTACAATTAACACAAATTGTTTTTGACCTTCTTCTTTTACCCATGGGGTCATTTTTCCCACTGCACACACAACAATTGCTTTCCTTATTCCCTTCTAGTTTTTCTAATCCAAATTTCCTGTTGGGTGAAAATCCATCGCCGCCCCCTCTATTTTCAGCAACCAGAGCTTTTTCTAAAAACCATTCATTTGCCAACTCCTCAATGATGGATATCTGGAAGTGAAGTCTGGAGAGGGGTCTGTCTGTATTCAACTTATACAGGACATATGCATTCAAGACCATTCTACCAAAAATATTAAAAATTACCTTT